CACACACACACACACACACACACACACACACACACACACACACACACTTTTTTAAAAGGTAGGCTAGAGGAATCCCGGTTTGTAAAGAGGAAGAAATACATTCTTAGAAATTACTTGGTTATGTACATATGTGCCTCGATTTCACCAAAAACAAAGATTGTCATTTCGGTAATGTGGAGAGTGTCACAGAAAAAGCTGGCTATGAAAATTCTTAAATGGTTTTTGAGTTTCAAGAAAGTACAGTACAGGAGAGAACAGTGATGGACAGGCTGTCTGGGCTGGGTGGGGTGAGAGGTACTCACGTGAGAGGCGATCTGTGACATCCAGCACCGCAGGACCACTCAGGAAACGCACACGCCCAGCAAAGGCTTGCAGGAGGCAAAGGTGGTCTGAAAGAGATGGAGATTTCTGTGACCCTGACATTCCAGCCATGTCAACACACCAGCCACTCATTGTTTCCACACACCCTCCAGATCACATCGGACTCGTGTGTGTGTGTGTGTGTGTGTGTGTGTACATGCAAATGTGGAGGTAGGAGGATAACCTGATGTTGGTCCTCACCCTCCGGCATGGTCTCTCTCGCAGGTTCTAGGACCCTCATGCTAGGCAAACAGATGTGAGCACCCAGCTTGATCTGAGGGCCTCATCAGGTACTTACACTTCCACAAGTATCTCACCCACTGGCCTATCATTCCAGCCTGGGACATTTTTGAAAAAGCGAATGAACATAGGATACCAAGGGGAAGAGTGAGCAATCTAAGGCAGTTAGGTTGGCTCCCAAACAGTCTGCCTTTTACGCCCATAGGTCTGATTTATATTGCCTGTGGTTTCCTAAATTGCCTTAAAGTGGAGTTTAAGATAAACAAGGCGGAGGACTGGTAGACAAAAGGCAGACACACAAACGGTGATGCTAGCAATAGGTGATGGAACGGATAAATGGATATTTGGATGTATTTACAGCTTCGGGATGAACGGAGGCCCTAAGAGATAGCCACACAGTGCTCATTAAAGGGCCGGGGATAACATTCAGAAGTCAAGGCTTTCATTAAAGCCTGAACCCACATTCTGCTCACTGGGACACTTCATGCCAGGTAGTCACTAATTCCCACAGGGAGCATCTACTGGTGCCCTTTTGTGATGGATACAGAGCCCAGAACTCATAGGATGGAGCTTCCCTTCCCTCCAGAAGGTTTCTTTGATTGGAATGTGAACCTCACTCAGGGTAGGAAACTGTGCTCATGTGACCAGGGCCTGAGCACCCAAGTAAGGGGCGATCACACCCCTTGGTCCATCCAAAGAAGGCACAAGATCAGACCATTCTCCTGCTTATCTGCTTCTGCCATGAACCTGGAGGCACTCGTGTGCCAGCATGAGTGCTGAGCATGCTCAGCTCCCAGCATGCTCACCATCCAGCATTCTGCAACCACAACAGTCACGGAATAACTTAATGGAAGGTAGGGCAAGTAGTGAGATGCCCCTTTGAGGGTTATGACTATGAGGCTTGCCCACACCTATCAGGAGAGCACGGCAGGTACTGTCACCCGGCAAGCGTGTACTGGTAACCTCAGTTGATTTTCTGCTTCTATAAATTCAAAAACCGGAATGAGCAATTTAGAAACAATAAAACTTTATTTGGCCCAGGGTTTAGAGGCTGGAAAGTCCAAGAGCAGGTACACACGCTGATGAGGGCATGCGCACCCATGGTGGAAGGCAGCAGTGCACACCTTTGCATAGAAAGATAGAAAGGAACCCAAAGCCGTCAGGGTTCCACCCTGTGGTAACTGAGCCATCCCTGCAACAATGCATTCATCCATCCCTAACCACGACCACAGAGAGATTTCAACTTTTTTTTAAAGATTTATTTATTTTTTTTTATTTTATGTGCATTGGTGTTTTGCCTGCATGTATATCTGTGGAGGCGCCAGATTCCCTGAAATTGGAGCTATAAACAGCAGTGAGCTGGCATGTGGGTGCTGGGAGTCCAGCCTGGGTCTGCTGGAAAAGCAGCCAGTGCACTTAACTGCTGAACCATCTCTCCAGCCAGAGGGCTTTCAGTTTTAGTGCGGTTTAGAGCAGGAGACCTTAAGTCAAAGCACCTGAGGTCCAGGAGCCCAGGGCAGCACTGTGAAAACAAAGCAAGTCTCTAACTTAGTCTTCTCCCACAGGACTCAGCCCAGCTCCTGGCCCTATGCTCAGTTCTTCAGAGCCATAAAGACATACACAGGGATAGGGAGGCAGAGGGAGTCCTGGAGATTGAGCAACCAGGAGGTCTACCAGACCACGTGCCTATGGCAGCCAGCATACAGCAGGTGCTTCATAAATGCTCGCAGTGTACATGTTGTTGACAAATCCTTGCAGAGCACAGGGCTTGACGAGTGCTGGCTAAGTACAAGTGCTTGGTGAATGCTGTCAGGGTGCTGCCTGGTGAGTGCTTATAGGGTAATGTTGCAACAGGGCACAGTTTTTCCAGGCTGGTTTATGGATGTCAGAGCAGAGCACTTTACACACACAGTTGGTCTGTCTTGTTTTAGTCACCTCTGTAAGGCTCACCTTCTTGGCTCACATTCAGGTATAATATGACAGGAAAGTGTGGTGAAGGGTACGGATTCTGTCAGAGTGCAAGCTGCCTGAGCATAAACCCCCACTATTTCACTATGGAACACTGTAGGAGCCAGTCACTCCCTCTATGCCTTGGCTTACCCATCAACAAAATGGTGGACAATACTAGTTCCCTTCTCATTGAGTTGCTGTGAGGATTAGATGAGTTAATTTAATATTTAGGATTGGACCCATATCATAGAATAACAATATATCTGCTATTGTATCTGCTATTTACTCTTGTCCTAAAATTCTCACAATGGAAAAATCAAACAAGGGGCCAGAATCTTGAGCTGGCTTGAGGTAGCTCAGCAATAGAATACTTGCCTAGCATTTACAAGGGCCCTGAGTTCTGTTCCCAGCATCATTAAATGGACAAACAAAAAAGATGATGAAGATGGTAGTGATGGTGATGGTGGTGGTAAAATCTACTATTTGAAAGGGCAAAGACATTGGCCTGGCCCACATTTCCAGAGGGTTCTTTTGGCCTCACAAAGGGGTGCACTAAAAAGAATATAAGATGCTGCGCAATGAGAAGAAGACAAGCCTGGCTGGTTGGTCAGAGACGCTGTCCTCCCTAGACCCCCTCTCAGAGAACACAGAGATCCCCATGCATAATCAGACGAGTGCCACTGGAGAAACCCTGAGGCCAGCGGGATATGTTAGCCTCAGACTTCTTGAAAGCCACAGAAGAACTAAATGAGTCCAAAACAAAAACAAAAGCAAACAAACAAACAACAAAAAAAAACCCTTAACATCTGGCATCTTTCAGGTTAGGTTGTTTGTTTGTGTGAGACTGGGTCTCACTGTGCAGTGCTCAGCAATCCATCCCCCTCCCTCTTTCTGTGCATATGAGTGAACATAATTGTGAGATTCTATATTTGAATTTGCATCCTGTTTAACCAAGTCAGACCATAAACACTTGCACATGCTAACGCCTGAGCCAAGGGCTGCCCTGGAATAGATGCCTCCACAGTGGTATTCCCCTCCTCACGTATTTTCCTGGAGGACCACACCGAATCTGGGCCACGTGGAAGACTGTGGTGTATCTCGTCACTGACTTTTGATGACTCTTCCCAGCTGACCATCACACCACGGTGCACAGTGCCATTTTTTTTTCCACACTTCTCCCTCCCCCCAAAAAAAAATTCTGATAAGGGTTAGGAAGATGGTAAAGTACTTGGCGTACAGGCGTGTAGACCTGAGTTTTGTGCCCAGAACACAGGAAGAAAGGCTGGGGTGATAGTGAGCCCTCAGATCCCCACCCCTGGGAGGGGGGCAGGTGGATTCTTGGGATGTTCTAGGTAGCAGCTATTCCAGGCCCCAGGGGCAGAGCCTATCTCAAAAACAGCTCCCAAGGAGCTACACCTGAGGTTGTCCCTGGCACCCATATAGACAAGCAGGCAGGCAGGCAGGCACACACTTTTAAAAAATGGAACTTGTTGCAAATGGATTGTATTCTATTCAAATGCCCTAGATTTTTCCATTTCTCAATAATTAACAAGCATGGTTTTTACAGCAAAAAATAAAAGAAGTTTTTTATGTTTAAGTACTAGAGAGACTATAAAGTAGCACTGGAAACTGGCTGGTGTTCATTTGTTTTCTCTTTTAATTTTTTAGACAGGGGCTCAAATGGCCCAGACTGGCCCTAAACTGATGTTAATCCTCCTGCCTCAGCCTCCCACATGCTGGGATTACAGGTATGTACCACCGCAATGTCTGTCCTGAACAGAATTAAATGAAAGAGCCCACATCAAAATGTTTTTTCACTGGATAAACATGGATAATTATGGACACAATACAAGGTAGAGGTTTTGGGTGTTTGGTATATGCTGGAGAGGCATCTGGGTGCAGAGTCTAAGCCTGTTAACAATATAACATCAGTCATATGATTTACAGGCATTTGAAGGCAGAGAGCAAACAGCAAAACTAGATCCAAGGCCACCCACACCCTAAGCTTATCTAGCCTCTCCAGGACTGGCCAGAGGCTGAGCTAAATTAAGAGAGCTCCTCTTGGCTGTGAGAAGCCTGAATGCCAAGGTCATCTGGGGGAGGCAGAGCTGTCTGCAGCCTGAGATTTTCATCCAGCAGATATCTTCTACAACTAAGCCAACAGCGACAGACTAGGCCAACCAGTCTGCTTCGGCACTCCCTTAATCCTCAGAAAAGTGCCCCTGAAATCAGGTCTCAGTGTCTGGTAGGAAAATGGCACTGAACCTCAAGTTCAGAGAAACCCCAAAGCAGGAAGTGGGTGATGAATGGCAGAGGCTAGGAAGCCAGCGGCCCAGTCTTCCTCCTCCACCCTAAAAGGGCAGCCACAGAAATCAGCACCTGTCATGTGAAACAGCACATTTCATCCATTTAAGATGTCTATTTTCCCTTCTGAGTGGGATTCAAGAGGAGGGAGACACCCTTGAAGGCTTTGACGCAGAATTTACCCTACGTACAAGAAATGCAAGGCTAAAGATGGAGCAAAGGTTGAGGGAGGGGCCAACCAACGACTGCCACAACCTGAGACCCACCCCATAGGAGAGAGCCAACCCCTGACACTATTTAATGGTGCTCTGCTATGCTTGCACACAGGAGCCTAGTACAGCTGTCATCTGAGAGGCTGCACCCAGCAGTGAATTTAAACAGATGCTGAGACCCACAGCCAAAAACTAGGCAGAACTCCGGACTCTTGTGGAAGAGTGGAGGGAAGGATAGAAGGACCCAGAGGGGAAAAGAACTCCACAAGAAGATCAACAGAGGCAACTAACATAGGTCCCTAGGGGGGCTTACAGAGATGGAAGCACCAAGTAAAGAGCAGCCATGGACTGAACCTAGGCCCCCAACACCTATGTAACTGATGGGCAGCTTGGCCTTCATGTGCATTCCCTAAAAGATGGAGCAGGAGCTATCTCTGATATGGGCTTGGTTGCCTGCTTTTAGACCACTTGCTCCTAGCAGGGCTCCCTTGTCTGGTCTCAGTGGAAGAGGATGCACTTAGTCCTGATATGACTGGATGTGCCAGATTGGGTTAGTAAGGCGGGGGAGGGGATGTTTTTCTGAGGAGAAGAGGAATGGGGAAAGCAGAAAGGGGGTGGGAGGGTGGGACTGGGAGGAGAGGAGGGGCTGCAATCATGCTGTCAAGTGAATGAATGAATGAATGAATGAATGAATGAATGAATGAATGAATGAATGAAAGATGAAGAAGAAACCTCTTCAGGGTCATCCTAGAACAGTCAGCCTCCCCGATTAGCTGTGCCATCTGGACTTGCTGCCAAAGGACAGCAGCCGCCTCACTTGGCATGTGTTTGCTCCTCCTGCCCTGCAATTAGCAGGAAACAGACTGAAGCATGCTGTGCTGTCGCTCTGGCCTTCCACACTGAAGCACTGCCCAGTGTTTGACAGGCCACCTCCAGCCTGCAGCCCAGAATCCAGGAGGGCACAAAGAGGCAGGTTAGCAAGAAAGCACTCCATGAGAGGGGTCTAAAGAAGCACTGGAATCACTAGGCTCAGCTGGGTCATTTTCTGTCCCCACCGCCCAAGGCTCTGCAGCTACCATGGGCAGTGGGAGCTTTAGCTGCTTGTTTCTCTTCTGGACTAAGCTCAGCTCATTCTATGCGGGTGAAAGCCGTTCCTAGGGACAACATGGTTCTGCCCTTGGTACTCACCAGGGGCGATTAAATTTTCCATCTCACTAACCCAAATCCTTAGGCTTGTCACTTTAGAGTCAAAAATACCTTCAGAACCGACATTACGGGAGGGACTAAGATGTGCTACCCAGAAAACTCAACTGACCCCAACAGCTCATTCCCACGCTTGCGCAAACAGCACCACACCCAGAGCCAAGACCGCATACTGCATCACATAGGCTCCACAGGAGCTTTTGCAAAGGAATTTAGAGGGCTTCTCCTTTGGACCTTTGAGGCCAACACCATTCTGTAGTGAGAATATTGGAGTTTTGTTTTCTTTAAAAAAAAAAAAAAAAAAAAAAAAAAAAAACAGAAATGTTATAAGAATATGTTCGTTTTAATCCCAGGTATGGGGATACGGGGTTGCTTCGCAGCAGCTGATTGTGATTTGCCTTGTGCTCTGGCAGCAGCGTGGTTTTGCCAGCTGCAGATAGTTTCTGTGATTGTGTGACATTTGGAATTCTGGAGACTTTTCGGAGGGTATATGAACACTAGGGCCGCAGGAGGCGGGGTGAGGTGTTGGTTCGTTGGTGGTTGCTATTGGTCGTGGTTTGATAAGTATTTGCACTCAAAGAAGAAATGACCAGAAGAAGAAATTAGATATCCTGATGTCAAAGATCAAACTTTCCCCAAGGAGCTCAACGCCTCTAACCAGCAGGAAGTACTTTAACGATAACATCATCCCCCCTTTTCTGACCCCTCACTTTATTCAGGGATCTCTTTCTTTCCTCTCCTTTTTTCTCTCTTACCTACTGCTAGGGAGTTGAAAGGGGAGAGGAAGAGAGATGGAGAAGGGAGGAAGAAAAAAGAACCCACAAAGCAGCAAACACCAGTTACACCATTCCATCACAAACCTCAGCACTGACCAAAGGAGCATAGAAGATGCACACACACACACACACACACACACACACACACACACATACGCCTGCATCACTCCCCCTGTTTCTGAGCCTCTGGCTGATGGACCAGAAGGGCTGTTTCCAGCTGTATCCAAGAGGACCTTGTCCCAATAGGGAGAACCACATGGCTGAAACCCTGCTGATACTGAGCTGATCCCCAAAGGTTTCTGTGTTAGGAGTGTGGCCCCCGGGGTAAAAATGCTGGAAGGTGGTGAGACTTTCAGAAGAAAGTAATGAGATCATTAGGAGCATTGCCATGGAGGGGACTAATATAGGCCTTGAGACGTGAATTAGTTCCCATATACGTTCTTTAAATAAATAAAAAGTGTGTGTGTGTGTGTGTGTGTGTGTGTGTGTGTGTGTGTGTGTAGCTCAGAGGCAACCTCAAGTGTCAGTCCTTGCCTTCCACCTAGTTTCAGACAAGGTCTCTTGTTTAACCACTGCATTTACCAGGCTGACTGAGCTTCTCAGGATTCTCCCATCTTTGCCTCCCATTTCTCCACAGGAGCACTGGGATTATAGTGTTTATGATGCCATGTGATCTGAAATTGTGTCCTTACACAGAAAACTATTCACTGAGCACAACCACCTTTCCTGGTGTCTGTCTTCGTGTCGTACCATGTAATCTCTTCCACAAGAGCTCCAACCATTATGATGCCACCCTCCACTGAAACACCATCCACCCACCATGATGCCATTCACCACTGTGACATCATCCACCATTGTGATGTTATTCATCATTAGGCCTCCATCAAAACTGATCAGAAACTGGTGCCCATACTCTTAGGCTTCCAGAACAATGAATTAAATTATATATATATATATATATATATATATATATATATAAACTTCCCAGCCTTGGAGTTTTTTGTTGCAGCGGCAGAAACAGACTAATACACAGGCCACTTCCCAGGCCTACTGTTTTCCAGGGTATTCTACGTGGGTAGAGCAGGTCCTCGGATAGAGGGTACCTAAGTCTAACAACTATGGGAGACACTAAATTCTGTTGTCCAAAATGTCAGGCTCTTCCATGCTAGGGAAGGTTGGCCCAGCGGCAAAGAGCAGCCTAAAAGCCTTGGCAGGGGTAAGAGGAGTGAAAAGAGCCCTCTCTCCAGACATGAGTGTTCATCCTCCTCAAACGCCTAAAGCCCATTCTGCTCTGTGTAAGTTTTCCCAATAAATCCAGGGCCTGGGGTGATTTACCAAGAGCCTTGATTATTGGCAACAGCAATCTCACTCACCCAGAGCAGTGCAGGAAACAAGCTGTAATTTAGGGCTCGATTTGTATTGTTTGTTCCACAGCCACAAACTCAGCAAATCATAAATTTCCTCTGAGATGAAATGTGGAAATTGATAATATTTATGAACTTGGGAGATAAAAAGCTGGGGGGGGGGGGGCATGACCAGGCCTTTGATTTGTAACCAAAATGTCTCCTACTGGCTCTAGCCAAGGACACTGCTTGCTGTCCCAGTCCCAGGAACTGGGTCCTGGCCAAGGCATAGGGAGAAAGGGGAGGTGAGTATGCCAGGAATGTCTTGTCCAGGATGCTCTGTGAATGCCAGAGGCCAGGTGCTATCTTCCACTCATCAGATATACAGCAAAGGCAATCTTCAGATACACGTTCCATCATATTGGCCTAGACATAAGTCTACTCGGGCACTACTTTCTCAGCAGATCTTACGTTTTAAACTTGCCCTTCCCTCCAAAGATATACTAAACATCACCTTCTAGCCAAGAAAGGGACAGCAGATGCACCAAAAAGTCCACCTGACATTGGGGAAGTGAGTGGTGATGCTACAAAGGCATATGATCTGCCATGTTCTTGTCTCTCATGGTGACTACCACTGTGCCTTCCTTTCTTCCTGTGTTCCTTGCTCCTCTGTCACAGTCCATCACCAACCCCCAACACAGATGAACCTTGCCAAGTACTCTTTACTCACTCCTGTGGTGCCACGTTTTCCTCACATGACTAGGCAAGGCCTCCTCTCATCACCTCCATTCCTGACCATGCAGGACCTAGCGGACTGTGGTGGTTTGAATAAGAATAGCCCCATAGGCTCATAGATTTGAATGCTTGGTCATCAGGGAGAGGCACTACTTGAGAGGGATTAGGAGGTGTGGCCTCGTTGGAGGAAGTGTGTCGCCGGGGGTGGGGGGTGGCTTTTGGGGTTTCAAAAGTTCAAGCTAGTCCCAGTGTTTCTCTCTTCATGCTGCCTAAGGGTCCAAATGTAGAACTCTCAAGCTATTTCTCCAGCACCATGTCTGCCTGCATGCCACCACACTTCCTACCAAGGTGATTATGGATTAAACCTCTGAAACTGTAAGCCAGCCCCAAATAAATGTTTTGCTTTATAAGAGTTGCCATGGTGTGGTGTCTCTTCACAGCCATAGAACAGTGATCAAAGACATAGATCGAACCTGGAAAAGCCTCCAGCCGGGAACTTGGAGGCTCTACAATGTCATCACCTGCTCTTATACAGCCTTAGACAACTCAGCTGATACACACACACACACACAAAATGGGTATGATGGTTTGAATAAAAATGGTCCCCATAAGGAGTGATTAAGGAGGTATGGTCTTGTTGGAGGAAGTGTGTTATTAGGGGAACGGGCTTTGTGATTTCAGATATTCAAGCCAGGCCCAGTGTCACTCTCTCTTCCTGCTACCTGCTGATTCAGACGTAGAAGTCTTAACCAACTCTCCAACACCATGTCTAACTGAATGCTGCCATGACAAAAGTAGATTTAAAGCTCTGAACTATAAGCCAGGCCCAATAAAATGTTTTCCTTTGTGAGAGTTGCCATGGTCATGGTGTCTCTTCATAGCAGTAAAAACCCTAAGACGATGGGTGTGGTGGCTCAGTGTCCCATAGGGACTGCGGTGGGATGCTCACCCAGGCTGTCCATCATGGCATCCAGCACAGCAGAGGCAGCAGTGGAAATCCCAGTGTTCTTAGAGTTAAGGTTGTCTGCAGTTGCGATGATGAGGGAGAGCAGCATGGGGTGTATGCTCTCTTTTAGGGCAGGAAGCATCTGTGCGAGGGATTCCAGTGCCCACTGGTTCACTTTCTTGTTGGAATCCTGAAGCCTTGGGGTAAAGGCATCAAATACCTATTGAGGGAACAAAAATCAAGAGTTGGTGGGAACTCAGGTTTGACAGGTATTGGCTGGGGCCCCTGAAAGTGGCCCTGTGCTAGCACATTCCCAGTGATGAACAGCTCATCTCCTCAAAAGCAGAACAGGAAAATACAAAGGGGTGGGGGAGATCACACACGCTGGGTTTCCACCTGCCTGTCCGCATCACTCCCAGGAAAAGTAGGAACCCCTTCTGTGGTGCAGCCTGTTTCCCAGCCTGTCCATCATTTATGGCCCAGCCACTGTCCAACCACAGGCTGTGATACCAAATATGCAAAATAACTAACTAAAGGTGACCCAAGACCTTGACCACAGCACCCTCTCTGGCAGAGGGATGGAGGCCACCCAGGAAACCTCTGAGCATTCTAAAGATGTGCTCAAACCCTCAGCCACACCCAGCTACTCTTCTGTTATTACAAAGGCTGCCAGGAAGGTGACTGCTTGGCAGGCTTCCCTTACATTCCCTCTAAATCAGTTCAGATCTCTCCAGACTGAACTGGCACCCACAGGAAGAAGTCACAAGGAGGACATGGGTGGGTACTTACCTGGACTAGGTTGGCAGCAATGAGCTCTGGCTTGGTCTTGCAGTATTCAAGGAGCTTCCCAACACCATCCATCCGAGCCTGGAACTCCTTGGCCTCCAACAGTCGGATCAGCTCCCGGAGCTGCTCTGCCATCTCCACGCCACCCCGCATGGAGGAGCGTAGTAGGCCCATCGGCCGTGGGCCATTGGAGCCAAGCCTAGGCAGAAGCAGTGGCTGACCCCTGGGGAAGAGCCCAGGGGCTGAACACACCTCTCATCCCAAGCTGAATCCCACTGCCAGGCAGGACAGAAACAGTGTGCCCCCTACAGCTGGGCCCAGCCCCCAACCTCTGCTCTCAACGCTGCCTGGGGACACTGCACTTGGGGACTCTGGGCATCTCTCTTCCTCAAAGGACAGCAAGCGAGGTGCCCTCTTCCTGGTTTTTTCCCTCTTCCTTTTTGAGGGTAAAGAATTGAGGGTAGGGAAACCAAGTGGAAAGATGACTGGTGCAAGTGTTGGGGGAGGGGGGTTCCTGAGGATGGAACCCAGGGTCTCATGCATATTAGACAGGTGCCCTGCCACAGAGATGCGCCCCCCAGCCACCAGCACAGCCAGAGCTTATTTAACCTAGAAATAACGGAAGATTCAGTAGGCTGTCACATTCCACCTCTGCTTCCCACATGCGGCCCCTTGTTGCCTAGGCTCTCCCACTCCTGTAGGAGCAGAGAGTGTCCCTGCTCCCTCCCGTTGGGCTCACACATCCATCGGAGCCTAGGCTGGGTCAGCACTCGAGAGGCTCCACATAGAATTCCTGCCTCCCACACTTAGTTCAGAGCCAGGTTGTCTGCGCTCCTGCCCTACGCCCAGCTCCCACCCACCAGCTTCCAATATCATCCATTCTATCATTGGTTCGTGCGTTTCACAGTCTTGCCTCTGCTGAATACCAAGAGCTGCGCTTGGGTCCTAAGAATAAAGGGACGAGACACACCATCTTTGCTTTGAGCATCTCATAACCCGATGGGAAACAGAGGTATGAAGACCAGGGGTAGCTGTGCGCCCTGAGGATGTTGCCAAGCCAGAATCGGCTCTACCTGGGAGAAGGCGACAGGCAAGCTGCATCTTACAAGACCAACAAGCAAGCTCCAGGTGCTCAGGATAAGCAAAGACAGAACACAGCAAAGCAAGCATGAGGATGGGAAGGCTGGAAACTGATCTAGTCTACGGAGGGAGAGCTGAGCAGGAGAGGACAGGGTGTCACTAAAGGGCTCGGCAGCACCTTCCCAGGCATCCTGCTCTAGTCTGCTATAATCTTCTCAGGACATGGCGAAAGGATTCACATTTCAAGCAGAGGGTTCCTGCTTGGGTTTTTAACTGTTCCCAGGACATACCCTTTAGCCCTCAGGCCAGGTCTTCTGCCTCAGAACTGATCTCAGGCTGACCAATCTAGCAGCTAAAGGGCATGCTGGTCTAAGTGAACAGAGAGATGCCGAGCTTAAAGGGAGAGCCTGACCAAGGTAGAATTGTATGCTCTCAGCCAAGCCTACCATACTCAACATCTCTGGCAGATGTTGCCAAGCCAGAATCAGCTCTACCTAAGACGAGGGCAGGAGACTGTACCCTACAAACCCATCCATTAGAGACGTAAACCTAACTAGGTTTCAGACAAGCCTCAGTCCCCAGTCAGCCCCCATGGGCAAGTAAGACACCATTGGTAGCTTTGGTCACGGGGCCCAGAGACACAAGAACAGACATACCCCTCCTGACTCGGCAGCCTGTTCTCACGCACCACCAGGCTCTTCAACACCTTGCGGCCTTTGGCAGATGGGACTTCATGATTGTCTTGTATTCCCTTGAGAAACAGACACAGAACGTAAGCCGAAAGGGGTAGCCTGACACACCAGTATAAAGCACAACAAGAATAATCCTTCCACCTGGGAGCACCCCCAAATCACACACTGTTGCCCTAGAGGTAGCTTGGGCAGACACCACAATCTCCACTTAAGAAATGAAGGCCCAGGGAGCTTGAGGCGCATAGAGGCAGGCCTCACTATAGACACTGAAACAGAAAGCACACTCAAGCCACCTGTCAATAGTCATGATGAAATGGAAGTCTCTCAAACCCCAACTCATTCCCCTGACCTACACGTGGGCAGAGTCAACCGCTTGAGTGGCACTGGCTCACCCGTTGTTTGATGGCTGCCATGACTTTCCGTAAGTCATGAGATGGGAGGGATTGCTTCAGAAATGCATCAAACTTTGCATTTGTCATCAAGATGTTCACCATCTTCCGGCCATAAAACCTGCCACCAAGGAAGAACAAATGAAGAAACAGCCTCTGAGAGGCCCAATAAATTCACTCTACAGCTTTATGCAACTTTCCCAATTATGATAGGAGAGGTTTGCATACTTCTAATTAGAAAAGCAATCCCTGCCCCGTTAAAAATTAGATTCATGAAAGAATAAACATCATTCATAATGCCATTACCAAGAGGAAATCACTATTAAATTTTTAAATATTTTCTTAGTCTTTTTATGCATTTACATTTTAATAGATAGCAGAATATGTGGGCACCTTGATTCCAGACTTTTTGTTTCTTATTAATCATCTTCCCAGGCTATGTTATATTATTCATATATAACTTTTCAAGATTTCCTAAAATTTATGTGTGTAAATATACGTCTAGGTGTTTGTGTGTGTACAGGCGTCTGCAGAGTACAAAAGACGATGTCAGCGCTCCTGGAGTTATGGGTGGTTATAAGCTGTACAAGGTAGGTACAGGGAATAGGATTTGGGCCGGGAGGAGCTGAGCAGGAGAGGACAGGGTGTCACTAAAGGGCTCAGCAGCACCTTCCCAGGCATCCTGCTATAGTCCGCTATAATCTTCTCAGGACATGGCAAAAGGATTCACATTTCAAGCAGAGGGTTCCTGCTTGGGTTTTTAACGTACCTGTCCACAAGCTACCTCAGAGCACAAGCAAGACACTATCAGCAGCTTTGGCCATAGACATAAGAGCAGCCATACCCTTTCTCACTGGGAAAGTGTTCTCAACTATTAAGCCGTCTCTCCAGCCCCCACAAGTATCTTTATAATAGATATCTATTATAGCTCTTTATCTACTATATCCAATATATAATATCCATATAGCTATATATCTAATATTATAATATTTAATATTCTGCTATATGGTTATTCAAAATGTTCTTAATTTTTTTTCCTAGTTTGGGACACTTAGATGTCTGTGGAAGGTGTGGGAGGAAACAGTCATGTCTACCTGGTAGATAATGCTGTCTGGGCATAAGGATCAAGAAGACTCAATGAATGAGTGGGCATTCACAAGTAGACTAGGACTGGAAAGAGGAGGGGCTTTCTAAAGCCTACGGCATGGTCTGACACAGCAGCCAGATATGGTTAGAGAATATGAGGCTGAAGAAGCCGTGGGGGGGGGGGGGGGGGGTAAGCTGTGTTTACGGCCCTATGAAGAGACTGGGCTTTGGCCTACAAACAATGGGAAGCTGAGGGATGGCCAAATGTTCACGCTAATCAAAGTATCTCCAGGCAACAAAAATGTCTCGTTGCCTATAGCTTCAGCTTCAGGGGACTCAGCATTCCTTTTTGACATCTGTGAACACCCCATCACACACACACACACACACACACACACACACACACAGGTGTGCACACACACAAAGTAAAAACAAAGCAAATCTTTTAACTCAGGCAGGAAGTGAGTGGAGAGGGGCGAGATCGGGGGCTTGAAGTCCTGTCAGGAGGCCACCATTATAGACCAGGCAGAAGATGAAGTCTTGAAATAAGCAACAGAATGGGAATAAGATATGGACAGTCAGTTTCAAGAGCTGATAAAGGAGTTGAAATTGAAAGATTTCAAAGCTGATTGGAGATGGAGTAGAAAGCATCTAGAATGATGATATTCCACCCAACCCAAAATTCTTTTCCTTATAAAATGCATCTCTATTTCCCGCTAAGGAAAACCAAGACAGGAAAATGCTGACGATTTGCACCGTATTGACTGCCACTGCCCCACGTGTGAAGGCTTCCAGAAAAACAAAGCTCAGATTAGTTGAAGTCTTTTCCTTCTTCCAGGGGGAGTTCCTGCTTTGCACAGAAATGTGGGATTTGGGTCATTCCTTTAACACGAAGCCTTGCTTTGCTGATGTCTCACTGCTGCCCTGCCGCTCTATGTAACTTTTCACCTCTATAACTCTGCCCAAGTAATGGTATAACACTTCCAAGGCATTTGAAACAGGAATTAGCTCAGCATTCCCTAAACGGCACCCAAAGGGACTTCTGAAAATAAATCCCACAGCTTGTACACCCTCGAGGAAAAGTTGTTGGCATCATTCCTATGTACAAGCTTTAGTTCCAAAGTCCACGCGATGAGCGATAGCCACCACCAAGCCTGCAAAGGTGCAGACAGAAAACAAAACCCCAGATAGTAGTCGCTGGCCAGCCAACAGCAAGTGCAGAGGCCTCCGACTAGCGATGCGTGCATGCCAGTTTAAAAGATGCTGTGATGTGGAGGGCAATGTGGCTGGGAGGATTCAGGAAAAGAGGACTCCCATTTTACACCATAGGTGATTCGGTGAGCAATGGTGTCTTTGAACAACACAGGGGACACAATCTGAGAAGCAGACTTAGGAAAAAGCAGAGAGTTCCTCTAAGGACACTTTATACTAAAGATGGGACTGGGGCATCCGGGGATGGATGCCCTGGTGGGATTAGAGAGAAGAGGCTGATGTTGGAGGTAGGAGAACCAGAGAAAGGAGATGTGGGGGTTGGTTTTGGTTGTCAACTTGACATACTCTAGAGTCATCAGGAAAGGAAGTCTCAATGAGAAATGCTCTAGATTAGGCTGGCCTGTAGGTACGCCTGTGAGAGATAGTCTTAGTTGAGTTCATTGAGGTATGGACCATTTTATAGGTCCTGGACTGAACGATAGGAGAGAGCTAGCTGAGCACATGTAGGAATTCATTGCTTTGTGCTCTTCACTGTGCGTGAAACATAACCAGCTGCTTTGGGTTCCTACTGCCCTGACTGCCCCACAGTGATGGACTGTTAAAAAAAATGAACAAACAAACAAACAAAAACCATGTTTCTCCTTTGAGTTGTTAATGCAAGATATTTTATCCCAGCAATGGACTGAGGTCATTCCACAGCCATGTCCAGAGGATAGGCAGAATGGAGAACTTGCCCTAAGGGGCAAGGAGAAACAGGGAGTCCTGTGGCTCCAGAAGCCAGAGTACCATAAAGGAAAATGAAGTGTGTTCAGCGCCATCCAATGAGGGATTGGATCTAGGGAGATAATAGGTCTTGATTTCCACCACTCCCAACAATTACAGACAACCCCAAGCCTTCTGCTGCAATATCCCTCATTTCAATGACTAGCACCAACATTAACCCAGATGTTCAGTTTAAAACCTGAAAGCCCATCCTTGTTGTATCTCTGAAACCTTCACTGCCCATATCCTGATGGCTGTACGTTCAAAACAAACCTAACGCCCAGCCAATCTCCTGGGCTCAGCCTCCAGTACCTCCTGCCAAGATTGTGGAATCTGTGTCTGTCTGCTATCCTGTGAAAAACAAAGCCATCAGGAGAAAAGACACTGAAACAACAGTGAGGCATCACTTTCTCCCATTAGATCCAGTAAAGAAGAGACAGAAGAAAAGAAGGAAGAGACAAATATTGCCCGTCATTGGCCAGATTAAGGGAAGGCAGCACCTCAGAAATCAGGGAGTTCTTGGGGAGGCACTCTGGGGCATTCAACATGGCCACTGGAGAGGGAGAGGGTGGCAGTGCTGTGCTGGGTTTATTCCAGAAGATTCCCACTCGGCAAACAAAGAAGCAATGCAATACCCTGTGCGGTGGTGGAGACAGAAGGGGAGATGCATCAGCTCTCCAGGGAACACAGAGGGAACAGCTCACATGACCGACACACCACCTATGCCTCACTGATCGGGGAAAGATGGGACTTCTAGAGCAGAGCCTGGTGGCCTCGGTCCCCTGAATCACACACCTCATTCTCTGAAATGAAGGCATTAGACTGTCGGCCTCACATCCGGAAGGACACAGTAGAACTGCAAGACCAACTGCAGCCAACTAGTGGCAACTCTGGTTTTGGCAGACAATCAGTCCCCGCTCTTCTTTTGCGTCAAACCTCCACTCCCACCCCATAAACATACTTTAAAATCCTCTGTAACTCTCCTTTCACACAGCCAAAAACCCCAGCTTTTGACCTTGGCCTCCAAGAACAACCCTGAGCTAGTGTTTCTCCTTGTGCAAGCTGTTTCCATCCTGGAGCCTTTGTACTGTTTCCTTTGCCTGAATTGCATGCTTAGATCCTCAGAGACCTGGTTCCATCAACCTAACCCTGTACAGTTAGTTATTCCTGGCCTCAGCCTCGGGTTTCTGGCCTGCAATCTTCATTTCATGTGTGTTTGTGTGTGTGTGTGTGTGTGTGTGTGTGTGTGTGTGTGTGTGTGTGTTTACTTTTGTGCCCCTTATCTATAGTGGAAAATGTTCATTATATTTATTGTTTGTTGTGTATCTTCCTCAATGAGAAGGCAAGCTTCAACACACTGGGGCTTCATTTCCCCTCTTCATTCTTACATGGTTACTTAGTAAAAAGAGCACTCAGTGAACACTCGAAAATGCAGCTGAACAGTCTGAGCTTAGAGCTGGAGCGGATGGACACAGAACTCACTCTGCTGCAAGGAGTGGAGGAATAGAAGGTAAGAAAAAGACGTAAAGGTCACTGCCTGGACAGGCTAGCCATGACACTGGAGGAAAGCAGAAACACAGCTAGAGGGAGAGGATCCAGCCTCCATCTATCTGATTGTCCCTTTGCTAAACCTGAGGACAATGAGCTGTGGGACCAGGACCTGACCAGTGGCTTGTTACCTTGGCCATGCCCAGTCCCGAGTCCTGCCCTACCTGGTGTCTTGGTTAGAGTCCTGGGCCAACCTCACTAGGTTGTGTACCAGCATGTCTGTGTTGTCTCTGGAGCCTGAGAGAAGCTTCTCTGCGCCGATCTGCTCCAGGACCGCTGAGAGGTGCTTGGCAGTACATTTCCGGACTAAGGGGTTCCGGTGGCTAGAGGGAAACACAACCACAACCAAGAGGTCAGTCATAGGGTGAAGGTGTGAGGGCTCCAGACTAACACACATGCAGATCTGTAATCGCAGACTGTAGACCCATGTTCATGCCAGCCAGGACTTTAAAACCTATCTTGCATGACTGGAGGTGGGGTTGGGGGGCAGTGTCTTTGAGTAGTCATTCTCAGTGACAGGGCTAAAGTTGACCACAGCATCAATGGGAGTGGGAAGAAAAGCTGCATGAAGCCACGTGATTGGTCCCCAAATGGGCCTTCCCCCCCCCATTTCAGGGTGTTTCTGAGCCCAACTACTCCTTCTGCCCACAGGAGGGTTGCCGCCTTTCTTCCACCTAGGAAAGCCCTTCCCAGGCAATGTCTCCTCTCCTTCCCTAGTCCCACAGGCAGAATTAGGTGCTCACTCTGAGTTGGCTCGTGCTTGGCTCCCTGGTAAGTATGGCTGTGCTCCTGTATCCCCCCCAAGTCAAGCTGCCAGCTCCCTGGAATTGGGAACCATATCACCCCCTCTCCATTGAATCTCCATTGAATCTTCCCTCTCCTGCTGATGGAAAGCATTCACATGATGCTTAGTGACACTTGGGTATACTTTTGGTCATTTAACGGGTGGAATCTGACCTCTGACACGCTCCACACAGACACATACACAGTTTCCTACTGTTGTGGACATAAAAGGGGAACACCAGAACCCTCCCTACTCCATGTGACCCGCAAATCTAACACATTGGGCCTGAAGCAGAATCTGCATATCGGCAAGATCCCCAGGAGATGTGAACACGGAAACCCTGCTCTGGGCATTTGAAGACAGTCTACCCTGGTAATTGTCAGTGATCAGTTGTCACACCCTCTATGCCAGGCACCATGCCAGGCTCCTCTTATCCATCATCTCCCACCAACCAGGAGTTGCTAGTGTCATCATATTGCAGTAGAGGAAGCTGAGACAAAGGAAAAAATCTAGCAAAAGCACTCTTTCTTCCAGGTTCATTTGGCCACAGCTGTGTTCAATAATGTTTGGTAAAGCGGGCACTGTTCCGGATGCCATCTCCTGAAGCTGGTCATTGACTCATCAGAACCACCTCACTGGAGAGACATCAGTATTATTGCCATCAGCTGAAGAAGCAAAGGCCCAGAGAATCTAGGTCATGGGGCCCAGGAACGGCCCGTGCTTTGCAGCAGTTACTGGCACAAGAGCCAGGGTCCGCTGGCAGGGGCAATGGGCTCTGGGCAGGCTGAGAAGCTCATGCCTCAGTGTGATGACTGGTCTACACGAGCAGGAAGGCATTTGTCCTGTGGGAGAAAATGCCTTTGGTTTGCTTGTCCTGTGGCTTGGGAAACGCCTTTGGTTTTGCTACTGGTTTGATTTTGACTTAAGGGGAAGTAAATCTGTGTCTAACAGTAGTCCATCTCCTCCCTCCTGACAGAGGCCAGTTTGCTTCCTGGCTCTCCTCACTTGTCCATGTTTCTTCAGAAAGAAACACTGCTCCCCTGAGAGAGGCAGGAGCCCCCAGGGCACAGCTGAGGCTGCTTCTAATGCCCGGTCTCCCAAGCGTTACCATGACCACCATGCACTTCCCAGCCTCAAGCAGAACAGCAGCATCCTTCTTCCTCTGGCCATGCTTACCCCATTCTCTGCAGCCTGCCTAGGGTAGCAGGAGCCCACAGAATCAAGAGGGTTGTTCCCTCTGCTAAGTGTGTGAAGTCTGCTATGGGTGCCTCAGCAACGCTGACCCCCAGCATCCCAAGAGACCCTCTATAGCCACGGTTCCTGCTTCATTTCTTCCTCTGCTTCCCTCTCTCCCATCCTTCTCTGCTCATTCCATATGTCTGGACCTCTCCCCTGACACACACCCCCAGAGCACATACTAGACACCCGCAGACGTAAGCGCCACCAGTGCGCGGGCAGGGGTCACGTTTTCCACCATGGCACCCAGAGCCTGGTTGGCTGCCCGCTGGATGAACTCGCTAGTGTTCCCCATCTTCTGCAGAAGGCAGCGAGCAATCTCCTCGGCCTCCTGGTCCATGCTCTTCTTCAAAGCTCGGAAGAGGTCTCCCAGGGTGCTGATGGCCAGGCGAGATACCTTGGAGCGGAGGTTAGTGACCTTGGAGAGAGAGAGAAGGGGTCTCCAGAACAGTTGTACCTTCCCAAGGGCTCCGGACACACTGTGTGGCTCCATCTGCCACCTCCTCACACCAAGGCCCTGCCCTCATCCTTTGCCACACTAGAGAGGAAAACCTTTCAGCATCTTTGGGCAGAACAGCCCCACTTTGCTATTCTCATGCCCCACTTTGTTGTCACAGTAACCATCAATTCCGTCTTCAACATATCATCTGAAATTTGTGCATTTGATTTAAAATTTGAACATTTCCCTACAGGTCCATGTCAGAACGTTTGTTCCCCAGTTAGTGGTGCTGCTTTAGAAAGATGGGGAACTTTCAGGAGGTGGAGCCTAACCAAGGAAAGTAGGTCACGAGGGCAGGCCTTTGGCTGTTCTAGCCACACCCCTGCGTCCCCTGGGCTCTCTGCCAGCTGTATCTGCCATTGTGTGAACAAGTGAACAACTTTGCAGTACACACTCCTACCACCACCACGCATAGAAACATTCCCACTTGCAATGCCTCCCCTGCCGCCGTGGGCTGAAATCCCCCCGAAACCATGAGCCAAAAGAACTAACTCCTTCCTTCCTTAGGGTGCTTCTCTCCAGGATTTTGTCCCAGTACCAAGAAAAGAACTAACGCAGCACAGTTACAGAAATGGCCCACTTTGGTCTTCACACCACACTCACTGTGCAGAGGAAGAAACCAACCCTCAGCCACATGACATGGTCCAGCCACGTGTCAACACAATGTCCTCTGTATTCCTAACCTTCCCTCACTCTCTAGAACAGGCTGTTCCCAAGGGTGTAGGCTAGCCTCTATGGGGATCAAACGTAAGTTACTGTCTTTCAGGGCAGGACCTCGGCTGAGGTCCAAGCCTTGGGAAATACAACACCAAGCCTGGGGAAGAAGAGCAACCTGGGAGTACTCCATCCCTCTTTAGACACTGCAAGTACAGAAGACAATGGGCAGTGACAAATGGGGACACAGGACTCTCCCAAAGATTACAAGATTACAGATGAAGAAAGAGGAGTTGTCGGGGGCGGGGGGGACCTCCTACCTCAGTGGCTGGAGGCTGATGAATAAGTTGAGATGGCCATGCTCCAGAGAGCCACAGTCCCTCATGGCTGCTGTGTGACTCACCTGGGCGGCTGAGCCAGGGAAAGGGGGTGTGGATTAGGGGAAGTGGAGAAGTACAATAGCTGTGGGGAGGCCTCACCTCCGCAGTCACTGCCAAGGACACATCATGCAGCCGTGGACCGAGGACCTCCGAGTGACAAGCTGCCAGGCGCTGGATGCTCGCCAAGCCCTTCTCCTTCATTTGCCTGAGAAGCAAGGCCAGGCCTGTCACGGGAGGGGAGGAGGGAGGAGTCCTGTCTCTCTGCAGACAGCCCCCAAGCAGGCTGTGATTCCAAGGCCTCAGAAGCTGGATTTCTAGGGGTGACACCCGGCTTGAAGTCCTAGCTGGTCAATACAAGCTGTTTTATGGGCCCTTGGCTGGCCTCAACTCTGGCCACCCAGGACCTGTTTGGGTTCTTGACACAGATAGACGAGGCCAAGAAGTTGCTTAAAGTGAGGGCTAAAGACTGGAAGGCTTCTGCAGGCGTTCTAGGCCACAGTGCCTGCTTTAACTGTTGACTAAGATCATGTGCCTCATTTGCATACTTGGAGGACACTTGTATTAAACCTGATTTAGACAGAGATATGTCTTTGTTAGTAGAATGCACAAGGCCCTGGGTTTGATCTCCAGCACCATATAAATTGTACATGGTGGCACAGGCCTGTCATCCCAGCACTCAGGAGGCAGAGGCCGAATGATCAAGGTCATTCTCAGCAAGCTCACTGACAGTCTGGGACACATGAGACAGACCCTGGGCAGATACAAGAAGTTATAGATACTATACATACGAACCCACCCATATGTATGCATGTCCACACACACACTTCTTCCATAGGGGTGAGGGGACAGGAAAGTTGAGGGGCAGGAGCTCTTCTGTAGCCCCCCCCCCCCGCTAAATACCCACCACAGCCCAAGCCACAGAACATTCTACAAAGGTGCCGCCTCACCAGTCATTGCTGTTGAGGCACTGGAGGGCATCTGTCAGCCCCAGCTCTGGGTTCGAGAAGGGCCTCAACTCCCTGAAGGCACAAAGATCCATCTCCTCCTCTTCCTCCCATTCAGGAGAGCCCAAGGTAAGCACAGCGGGTAATGAATTAGCTGTATTCAAGGGAGAGAGACAGCAAACGTCACCCAGGAGGACAGAGAAGCATGCATGCACACACACACACATACACTCGGACACACAGAAAGGATTGAGGAAATGATGGTGAGCTCATCTTGGGCACCTGGTCTCCTGAGACAGGCTGGATTCTCATGAAGTCCATTGAAGATATAAAAACAATCAAGTTTCCAGTCCTGAAATTCCATCATTTCCAGACAGGCCAAAAGTTAGGGGGAAGTGTAACTGATAAAGCAACTTAAGTAACACTCCCATGACTGTCAAGAGAGTTAGAGGATTCAGTCGCAGCTTCCAGGGAGACCATGAAAGTAACGGTATTGCCGGTTCCATGATTCTACCCATGTCCACACAAGCATGCATAGCTTCAATAATAAGACAGTAACAGACCATCTGAATGGAGGCTCAGGAGCCAAAGTCTTAGGCTGATGGCCCACCCTCACTGTGGGTGACTGAGTCTTGAGCTCTCCATTTTACTGTCTACAATTTGCTTCTCAGTGTTGATGGCGTCCATGATTCATTCTCTCACACACACAGCCCAGGCAACAAGGCACACAAAATGGCGCCTCCTCACAGGCATTGCTGTTGAGGAGAGCATCTGTCAAGCCCAATGCATCCTTTCCCTCTCTCTTTCTCTCTAGTGTATATGAGAGAGAGAGAGAGAGAGAGAGAGAAAGAAAGAGAGACAGAGAAAGACAGAAACAAACACAGAGACACAGAGAGAAAGCTAGGCCTTCCACATGCTGTCATGTATTCTACCACTAAGCTAAAGCCCTAGACAACCATATCTCTCAATTAACTAAAATTTCACCTATTTTGTACTTTCTTCAAATCAAGCCTCTTTCTAGATCCAAAATAAATGTATTTTAAAAGGAAATTTAGGTCACAATCACCTTAGGTAAACTAGTATTACTTGTGAAGATTAATGGTGTTTATAATAATAAAAAAAAGAATAGCCTTTAAACCCTCAGCTATGACATTTCAGCAAGCTTATGGAGTCTCTTAACCTAAACACAGGTTTCTTTGTTAAAACAAAAACCAAAAGCAAAATGAAGGCCAGTATGGTATAATCCTATAATCCTAGCACCTAAGAGGCTGAGGAAGAACCATCAAGGGCTACATAGCAAGACCCATCACATAAGTGATAATAATAAAATAATAGACACTAAAAAGGAGTCCCAATGTAAGGCTTTCAATTTGACACAACTTAAAAGATACAAAGAACAGAAAAGGGAGGCCAGTCAATAGATGGATAGATAGATAGATAGATAGATAGATAGATAGATAGATAGATAGATAGATAGATAGATAGATGAATGAATAAATAAATAAATAAATGAATAAATGAATGAATGAATGAATAAATAAATACAAAAACTCTGCTTTACCTGGCCATTATTATCTGCTGCATGACAAAAAGGGAAACTGAATCAGAATGATTAATTTCAACCTTTAGGGTTTTTTTTTTAAGTCCTTTCAAATGAAGAAACACTTGAATGCCTAGTATAGAGAAGAAGAAGGAGAAAAAGAAAGGAGAAAATGGAAGAAGAAGAAGAGGAGGAGAAGAGGAAGAAAAGCTCCTTTGAAAGTGAGATGGAGTTTCTCCTGGTTCCTTGGCACCTCCCCTGACATGTCCTGAAAGATCTGTAAATTCCTTGGTCCCAGCCAGCTCCATCCATTCCCTACAGTATAAAGTCACAGGCAGGCTTCCAAGATCTTCCCAGAGACCCCCTTGGAAGTAGCTCCTTGCCCATATCTTTGGTCCTCATATACTCTAGAACATGTCACTAGGCTGGCAGAACTGCCTAGCTATCTACTCAACAACATGACAAAGACAGGTAGCCAAAGTCCCCCTGACCACACCCTAGAGGTGGCTCAGGTAGAGATCAAGTCCCACCTGAGGCATGGCGGGCAAAGCTAGGCTCCTGCTTGCTGACAGGGATGCTGGGCAGGGAGGCTCGGGTGGCCCGCTTTCTCAGGAGGACTCCAATGTTGTTTCTGCGTGGACTGCTCAGCCCAGTGGGCACCGACAGCGTCCCACTGCCCCGCAAAGGAAGGAGGCCTGTGGGAAAAAAATATTGTAGACTAAACAGGTCTTCTACATCCCGGGCATCAAGTTTCTGTGGAAATGTCAACAGACGACAAGGGAGTGGACATGATTTCCTGTCCTGTCTTAGGATGGGAAAGTAGAAGAGCTGTGGGCAGTCCATCTTTCAGAAGGTTAAGAGCCCAGGAGTTGTCCAGTAAAGCTTCCCCACCAATGCACCCTACCTTCCTTTGCTGAGGTTCTCCACGTGCTGGGGCCCTGGGAAGCTGGTTCTTGCTCCCTCTCTGGCTCCTTTGCCCTTCGAAGCAGCTCCATTTCTTTCATCTGCTTCTGTCGCATCTTTTCCTGGGCAGACTTGGAAATGGTGACTTGGACCTGGAACGAGGTCAAGGAAATGTCTATTAACCTTGGGAACCCAACCAGTCTTTCTACACCTTCATTCATTTAGTCGTAAAATGTAATGCTTCCTCCAATGTATATCAGCCACAGTTCCAGAGGCAACAAAAATGAGCTAAGTCCTGGGCCCTTAGGAGCTTCATGACAGGGGTGGGGCACAGACAATAAGCAGTCCATCTGTCTGTAATGTCATATGAGATATGCTAGAAGAAAAGTAAAGCAACGGAGATGGCAACTTTGACTTTAGGTAAGAAACCTCTTAGATAAGGGATTCCCTTCAGGGTGAAATTTAAGGGGAGACACAAATGAAGACAGACAACAGGCCACACAGTTTTGAGGAGAGAAGTGTTTTAGCAGAAGAGTGGCTGCAAAGTCTCTGAGGTGAGGGTGTGCCCAGAGTAAGTGGGGAGCACTCTCAGCTACAGCAGGCCAGGAAGTGGCAGGATCCGTTTTACACTGATTTTTAGGCCCATGGCACGGGCTCCAGCTTTTCCTCAGAAAGACAGAAGAGGCCATTTCAAGTCCTGAGCAGAGCCATGACAGGATCCAACTTCCATTTGGGGAAGTTTCTCCCAGACTGTATTTTTTTAACATTTTATCTTTAAATAGATTGATATTCTTAAGAAGTTGTAGAGATGAAGCCAGGTATAGTTGTGCATGCCTTTGATCCCAGCACTCAAGGCAGAGGCAGGCAGATCTCTGAGTTTGAGGCCAGCCTAGTCTACAGAGCAAGTTCCAGCACAGCCAGGGCTACACAAAGAAACCTATGTCTGGAAGAGGAAGACAAAGAAGTTGTAAAAATGAGATGAAAAGCCCATGCACCCTTCACCCAGCCTTCTTCAATGATGTTATCAACAATAACAGAACATTTTGACTTCTGTTTCCCAAAGATCATGCTACTGCGTTCGAAGACGCAAGAGCATGGACAACCATTAGGGAATAATGCAAGCGACAGGCATGCAAGTGTGAGGTTGGGAGGGATCCAAGGTAAAGGGAGTGTGTAGGGGGACGGTGGAGCCCAAAAGCTGTTTACAAGTCGAGTTGGTTCTGCTGATAAACAAAACATAAGGAGAGATAGGAAGAGAAGACAAAAGTGAACCTGGAATGTTGGCCTGAGCAGCTAGGAGGTGCCAGTCACCGGGTGGAGACCCTGTGAGATTAAGGCTGCAAAAGCAGGAGTTCTAAGCAGGGTGGATCCAGAACCTAATTAGGTATTTACGTAGAGCTGCTGGAGGTAAGAGAAGGTTGGTGAGGGCTTTGATCATGCTTGGCCTGAAACACTTTAGACACAGCGGTTAGAGCACACCTTCTGAGGTAAGTAAATATATCAGGGGCCAGAGGACTGAGCCCCGGGTCCTCAGTGTGGACAGGTCAGGCAGATGAAAGGGTGCACAAAGGAGGGAGGAGATGAGCTGTCTTTTATGAATGCCAGGAACAGCTCCTTTCTCACCCCTGACTCTAGGTGAAAAATTCAAGGACATGTTATACACTGAGTCAAAAGCTGGCACAAGGCAGAAGAGGACTGAGATGTGGAAGTTGGTACCTCAGTGAGGTGGTGGGGACCAAGGCTGCCAGACTGGAGTGGACTCAGGAGAAACAGGAGGTTTGTGGGAGGGGTGTGATATTAATATGAAAAGGCTAGCACAGAGCCGTTTGGGCTGCTGAGAGTGACTTCTATTCAAGGAAAATGTCGCTGATACAAAGAAGCGGCCAACGGTTAATGCTGGATCACTGGGTGGATGGAGCCCAAAGAGGGGACAGTAGCGAGTAAGTGGGGCCTTGGAGCTGGCTTAATATGGTTGGGACAAAACAACTTCTAATGTCCAGGCCTGTGGAATGACTGTACAGTGAGTGGCTGAGGCAGGCTGGAGGGGAGAGTCATGTCACCCATAGAATTTTCGTGGCCACCCTCACGAGAGCCAGGCCCTCACGTGGTCCTCAAGGCATCTCTGTCTATAATACGGCACATTCTCAGGGTGGACCTTTCACACCTGCTTCAGAGCTAACCTCTGCCGTACCTGTCTCAAAGGGCGAACACAAGGATCCCTTAACAACGACTCTGTAAAGTTTGACTAAATTCATCTCGATCGGGGAAGAGAAGCCTCCACCGAAGGTCACCTTCCAAGTGCAAGGTATTTGTCAGCCTGTCAAGCACAGCTTTGGCCCATCAGCCTCTGAGTCAGCTGCCTCTCGACTGCTATCTTGGGGGTCAGTTCAAATTACTCAGCCTGGTTCCTGTAAGCCTTCTGTCCTTTCCCCAGCATCCCACTCCCTCCCAGCCTACATGTGACCTTCTGCCCTCCCCCACCCCCTCCCATCTGCATTCCTCCCTGTTCCCCTTCTTGTTTCTCTTGCTTTCCCCTCCTCCCCAAATTGTTCACAGGTTCTGGCCTTAAGTGCTTGAGGAAACGGCCTTGGTGATTCTTGGCTCGGCCTCATCCCCTACCAGCTGGCCCCACACAGCAGATTTTAGAAGCATGCTTGCATCTAGCCAGTTGGACTCCAGCTTCCTCCTCCTCTCCTTTCCCTGGTACCTTGGCGCCGGACTCCCTCTGGTCTTCCTCGTTCACCAGAGAGCAGGTTTCTTTGGCATGGCCGGAAGAGAATGCTGTCAGAGTAGAGGCAGACTGTGAGGAAGCCAGGGGCCTTGTGGGGGCTTCAACAGTCTTGGCTTTGACAGCTGGGACCAAAGGCTTTGGCTCTGAGAAGTCAAGAGCAGAGACAGAGCTGAGAACGTGGCACCATGGCTGACAATGGCCTGACCCTGTGGCTGATAGACTCAACTGCATAAGTCCTCAATCTTCAGTCCTTCTGGTCCACACTTTCCTAGTGAGGGAGCTAGATATTCTCCAGAGTCACTCTCTATTCATTTACCCATCCACTCACTCATTCATTCATTCATTCATTCATTCAGAAAGCAAGCACTGCATATTTTATTGTAAGATGGGGAGAGGGTGGAAAAACAGAGTCAAATACAACACCTGCTGCCCATTTTATACTGCCCCAGCAGGTCTAGAAGGGGCCAAAGAATTTCTGGGAAAATCCTCTCACTTCACAGATGGGAAAAGTCAGGCCCAGCTACATTCATTTCCAAACAACATCAATTCCACTGAGTCTCATCATCACTCTATACTTTCCCAATCAATGGAGTTAAAGACACACACACACACACACACACACACACACACACACACATATATATACAAAAAAAAAAAAATATATATATATATATATATATATATTTTTTTTGTATAGAGACAGAACAGAGATGGGTTCCTTAATTCCTCCTGCCCCTTTAATGTGGTCATTCATCACCTCAAAAGGGCCAGCTAACCAGGGGTTCATGCCCAGGACTGGAAAGGGCATTTTGAGAATGTGTTTCTGCACAGATCCTTGGTCCCTCGGCTTAAGGAAAGGTGAGGGGAGCTAAGAAATCACAGATGGGAGAGAAAATGCAGGTGCTCAGGGGCCAGCTGATCAGGATGGGTTCTTCGAGGACAGCACAAGATTCGAGACAGCACGGCAGCCCTCACTGTATCACTATCAAGCAATGTCACCCCAGCTGACGGCCAGAGACAAACTGTGCTCTCAGATCTTTTATAAATCCGGTTTCTTACCTAGGGGACACCTAGAAAGCCTTGTCTGAGCAGCTGGCCCTGTTTATAGACACCTAGTGACATGGTCTCCGGGCGCAAACCCCATGCCAGCCATCTGAAGGCTAGTGCATAAGGACATTCGGGGTCTCCTGCGTATCACATTCCGCACAGCTCAACCAGGGAGACAGGAGGAGCATTTGCCTTTGAGGTGTACTTGCCACACGGTGCCTCTCAGACCCTGCTCAGAATCCTATCCCAGAGCGTCCTGGGCAACAGCCTGTCACTCTGCCAAACACCCTACCGGCTGAGCTGATTAGTCAGGGACCTGCCAGGAAGTTGGGCATCTTCCTGCCAGTCGGCACAGCAGCAGCTGCGTGCAGCCTGAGCTCAGGGTGCCCCTCCTAGGCTGTGGCCTCCTTTCCTGACCCCTAATCACACTCCTGCCATAGTGCCCTCTCCCTGGCAGCAGATCATCAGCCCAGAAGGAATGACCTTCTACATTCATTCTCCTCCCTCCTCTGTCTTTCCCTTCTCCCTCCTCCCTCCACTCTCCCCTGTCTTTCCTTTATCCTTCCTCCCTCCTCCCTCCACTTTCCCCTGTCTTTCCCTTATCCCTCCTCCCTCCCCTGGCTTTCCCTTATCCCTCCTTCTAGAAAGCTGCCCTGCCCCTGCTTCTACCCTCTGGTTGTCCCTGCTCCCCTGACCTTTGAATCTGCTGAGAGCAACTACCTGAGGTTTATGAGAGTGGGCTTAACGCCTCACTCAGTCCAGTGAGGACATCTCTATATGCCTAACACAGAGCAAGAAGTCTCTGCTTGGTGTTCCAGGCCCACTCTGCCACGGCGAAACTATGAATGTAGGTCTATCTGGCCAAGCTGTTTTCCAGGCTCCAAGAGCATTTGGTGAGCTCACAGAGCCTCACAGTAGCCTAGATCGAACTACTCAGCGTGGGTCACCTGGTTCATCAAAAAGGAACAGCGCATTTCCTTCATCTGGGCGGCCATGCACTCTATGAATTGGTGTGCCTCCTGGTGCTCGGCAGAGCAGGTACCAATAAGTACCGTTGCTTTCCTAGTCCCTGGCGCAGACTTGTCACCGCTCTGCAGTGCGATGAGTCCAGCTTCCCCATCCATCTGTGAAATGAAGGGCCCGAACTGAGAGCCCTCGGATCTCCCTTGGCCTAATTCCATAACCCAAATTCAAAGAAGCAGAAACAAGATGGGAGCTCATGGGAATACATACGTACCCAGAGATTTAGGGGTCTTTTCCAGAGGCCCATTCTCACAAGTCAATCTTAAAAGTAAGAGAGAGAAAAGAACTGTGTGAAACCCAGTTAGCCAAAGACACCACGGTGAGAAGCCTGGGTGCTCCAAGGTGGGAAAGACAGTGAGGTGGACAAAGAGATGAGGCCTGTCTCTGCGGCAGGAGGTATAGCTCCTTACACAAAGACAGGGTTGATTGGTTATCAGCCAGGCCAGGCTGAAAGACCACACTCAGGGCTGGGTGATTCCCTGGCTCTTCGATCATCTGTTTCCTAGGAAACAGCATCCATATGAAAACTGCTGTCTTAAACTAGACCCATGTCGTCTACTCTAGCTGGATGGAGGACCTGGGACTTCTCTCCTCAGCTCCAGCCACAGCCCCTGCCTTGGCCTGTGCTGTATGCCTAGTGTTCTGGCTACTAAGCCATCTCTTCTCCTCCCCACTGCTCCCACACTTTTAAAAAATGAATGTGTATGTGTTGCACATGCCTGTTTGTATTGGTGTTTGCCCAGGGCCGGGGCCGGAACACGCATGGAAGGCGCACACCCCAGTGTGTGTGCATGTGTGTGGAGGCTCAAGGTTAACGTTGGGTGTCTCCCTCCATCTCTCTCCACCCTACATTTTGAGGCAGGGTCTCTCGCTGAACCCAGAACTCACTGTTTCAGCTAGCATGGCTATCCAGCTTGCTAAGAGGATTCCATCTCCACCTCTCACACACTGGAGTCATAGGTAGATGATGAGCACCAGCTTTCATGTGGCTCTAGGGAATACAGCTCTCATGCTTGCACTGCAAATATTTTGCCTGCCAAGCTACCTCCCCACAGTGGCCTTCTAAAGTCAGAGCTTGTCTCGGCCCCATACCTAAGAGTTTTAGGTGACACCTAGTTAGTTGAAGTTAGGGCCTATAACCTCTAGTGAGGCCTTACAGGCTTCTCCGTAGGCTGAGGGAGTCTCACAAGCAGACCCTCTGTAGCTTCCTAAACAACTCTGTCATTCCTGTGTGTCTTTCTCCTCCATCTCGCACTGTCCCTCCTTCAAAAATTCCTACAAGAAATCACCCCGGCCTAACTGAGATGCTCTTCTGTTGGAGTTACCAATAGAACAGGCAGCCTCTGTCTCACCTCCAGTCTCACTGGACTTGAACTCAATGATCTGCTCACAAATCTCTCATCCCCCAAAACTTATTCATTCTGGTTTCCAAAGCACCTAGCAGATAGTAAGTGCTTAATATTTTTTAAGTGAATAGGTGATTTGGTGGGTGAGTGAATGAAGTGGTAATAGGAATAGGGTGAATTTCCCACCTATTTGCTAGGCAGCCTTATAGAGGTGTTGGAGAGAGATCCAAGTTGCTGTTGACAGCATAAGGCAGGTGTTATGTATATGACTAACTCATGTCAGGTACCAAGCTTAGCATCACAGGTCTTTGAGATATGACCCCTGACCTATAAAATGCCAATTCAAAAAAACAAAATGAGGTTTAAACAAGACAAAACAAATAAAAGGAACAAACAAAAAAATCAACTTAAATAGCCAAGATTTATTGGTTAAATCCATGAAACAATGAAAGAGAGGTGAGGGGACAGGCGGTCCGTGTCCTGTGGAGAAAGGAGAGGTGGCCCCCTTCCTGTCCCGGCTAGCCATGAAAGCCAGGTGAGGCCAGGGTGGAAGGACAGTGTTGGTGTGCAGGATAGAAAAGTGCCACGTAGGCAGTGAGGCTCCGATTCCAGAATCAGCACACCCACAAGGGAGCACACCTATATACAGCGCTGGAGGAGGGAGGTGCTCCCTAAAGGCCAAACCAAGCACACTCCTCTCAAAGCTGCTGAAAGCAAAAGGTCAAGAAAGGTGAAGGTCACGGAAGGGTTGTGCGGGGATTGGAAATGGAAGGTGAGGCTGGACAGCAAGGGACAGGAGATGGCAGACCAGGACCTCTTGGATGAAGTTAAGAAGCAGCTGTACGTGCAGAGTGGGAGGGAATGGCAGGGACGAGAACCAGACAGTAGCTTCTGTGTATTTTGTTTTATAAGAAAAGCCTAGGAAAAGGGCACTCGATGAGGGACCAGAGGCATGTTCAGCCAGAGCCAGACTGCTGAAGGTGTGGGCAAAGGGCAGCTTCTCATGGAGGGGCAACTTGGGGAAGCACCAGGTGCCTCGTGTTGCCATGGTAATATGCATTCCCTTTCCCCCTGCTTCCTGTAATGTTGACCAGCATCTGCCATGAGAAAGCGGAGGTCCCAGTGAGAGAGTGTGGGACTCCAGGGGGAGGTCAGCCCATGGCACAGTCACCGGAGGCCCCATGAGCCTGGAGATCATGGGTACAGGAAAAACAAAAACAAAAACAGAAATTTCAAGGATGGTCAAATTTAAGTGACCGATGAAAGGCATGTGCCTGGAAGGTCACGACATGGGTATAAAAGCAGGGAGGTATAAAATCCAAGGGCTAGCCACAGTCTAAACAATATGGGAAAATTAAGTCACGAGATGGGAGAAAAGGCCTTGGACAGAACAATGAATTTACTATTGAGGCTGCCAAGAGATGAGAGGAATCTGGGCACAAGGAGAAATGTCCAAACTGTAAGGAAGGCTGGTCTGGAGGAGAATTTCACAGGAAGGTGAAAATGAAAGGGAGTGCCCATCCTGGAGCGGGTACCTGGACTTGTCCCCACATCCCGACAGGGCTGGACAAAGATGGAGACACAGGGGTGCACACAGAAGGCAGGGCAGGAACCAGGAGACCAAGGAAGACAGAGAGAAATGGGAGACTTTTGAACATGGGCTATACATGGTGGCTTAAGTCAGACGTGTCCCCCAAGGTGGCAATGTTTGGATAGGTTTATAAAGTGTGGCCTTGCTGGAGGAACTCTGCCATTTGGGGCTTTAGAAGCCTCCCTCTGCTCTCAGCATCTGCGCCACCATGCCTGATGTCCTCCACCGTAACAGACTCTTTCCTCTCCGGAACTGCAAGTCCGAATAAACTCTTTCTTCTAGAACCTGCCTCCATCCTGTGCTGGTTTATCATAGCAATGGGAAAGAAAAGTAGCCCAGCACACTAGGAGAGCCAGGCCCATAGATGATGAACGGGCACTCACACACACACTCGCAGACCCGTGCATATCCATTCCTACATACTCACTCGGATATCAGTCTGGGCTGGCCACTGGATGCTGATAGCTGTGTAGAAGGCTCTGTCTATCTTCTTTACAGATTCATAATAGCCTAGAGCCTCTGCTCCAACTGTTTCCGGGTATGAAGTCCAAAAGTTTTATGGAAAACCCATATACTCACACATATGCATTCACAAACACAATATACATGATAATGGTTGTGGTTTTAGTGTCCATCAGTTAAGAAAACACATAATGTTAAAGATCCTCCATGAACTTGATCATGCCCTAAAACAGCTTGTATTTTTTTTTTCATCACTATGGCAACTGTAGACAATAAGAAACTAGAAAACAGGCTGTCCACATCACTTGTCCTGTCTGTCTTCAGAGCCAGCCTGCTAGAGCCCAGGCTCAGAGAAGCCCATCTCAGAAATGCTATAGCCTTCATGGGTGCCTCAAAGCTGTGCCTGCCACAGTGACTCAGCAATGGGGAGCTGAGGGAAAGGGGTTGGGTAGGGCAAGTTACAGGAGAGATGACTACAAACAGACTTGAGATTTGAAATTGGCCGCTTACCGTGTCTGTGGGGCCCTGGGTCTTGTAAGCACATCCTGGCCTGGACCCAAGGGGTTGGGCAGGGAGCCAGGCCTGCAGGAAGAGGTCCCTGTGGACATCCGGGCCTTCGGAATGGGCGGGATCACGAGGCCTCCTAAAGACTTGTGCATCTTCTCGTCGTTGCAATGCAGGTATTGCCGGGAAATCTGCACCTGAGAGCAGAAGGGAGCCTGGTCCTTGGAAGCATGACTCACTGTTCATTCAGGTCCTGGTAACCTCACACAGGGCGTCTCCAGCCAGGAGACATCTGGCGAAAAGGATGCTGGAAGATGCCCTCTTGTTTCCCTTTTCAGTCTCCTAGCCCCACCCCAGCCCCTCTTTGAGGGTCATTCCTTCCTAACCGCTCCAGCTGAGAAGATTGACAAGCTTTTCTGTTGTTTTAATTCCTTTTTTAGTATTTTTGATCTTCTAATTTCATAATTTAAAAAAATCTTTGACTCTCAGAGCTGGAAGAGACCCTCAAAACACACAATTAAAATCTTCGCTTTTACAGATGTACAAAATAGGGCTGGGAGGGGGTTGGTTCCCCCTGCCAACTCATTGGCATTAAACAAGAGACCACTAGAAAACCAGGCAAATCTCAAGACACGACTACCAGAAAAAGCCTGAGGGCCACCAACTCCAGGACAGACAGTGTTGTAGCCCCTGTACCTCTCAGGTGGCACCTCCCCCAAAACACTCAAGCCAGCTGTGAAGGTCTGAAATACTATGGGGAGAAGTCAAATGAGGACCTCCAGACTCTCTTGATGCCACCCTAATCTTGAGGAATGTCCTGAGACACTTGCAGCGATGCACAGAGCACGGGGACAGGAGCTGGTAAAGAAAGAAAAGCAGATAGGGTAGCTGCAGGAAAGAAAGGTGACGCCTCCTCACCTCCTGGGCACTGGCCCCCGAAGCCCGGAGATCCTGTCTGCCCCCGGGAGGGTCCAGGTCCTTCTCCGTGGCATTGTTGGCCTCAGGGGTGGTGGGGATGCTCTGGATGGGAGGCATTGGCCTGGGCACCCTCAGGAGCCTCTGCGAGGTGCTTCGGGGAATGGTGCTCCTCAGGGGAGCCCCTCTGGGGCCTCCCCTAGGATCCTGAGAGACTGAGCAAGGGTGAGAGGGAGAATGAGTTAGCACCCGGAGCACAGGGAAAAGAAGGGCAGCGCCATGCTAACCTAGCCCTTGGGTCCTGAGAGGAGTAGAGATGATGAGGGGAGGGAGCAGAGCTCCCTCCAGCCCTGCACCCCACACCCACCAGAACACTAGGTAAGCAGGGTTTGTCAGGCCCCTTTTCAGTTCCATAGAACTTGGTAGAAATGCAAATCAAAGTCAAAGAAGGTATGGGCAAGAGTAGTGTTGGGCAAAGAGCAGGGACAGCTGTCCCTGGATAGAAGCTCTGTGACCCTATGTGTCCCTAACTTCAGATCTAAATTGTCCCTCCTCAGGCTCTCGTCTGCAGCACTTTCGTCGCAGCTGGGTGCACTATTTTGGAGCAACTGTAGAGGCTTTAGGAGCTGAGGCCCAGCTGGAGGAGACAGGAAGCGGGTCACTCCGGGCAGGTCTTTGAAGGTTACAGCCCAGACTCTGGGTCCAGCCTTGTGCTCAGCTTTCTGGTTTACTGTGATAGGACCGGCCTCGGCCACATGCCCCCACTTTCATGAATGGAGCTGCCCCAGCCTGCCTTTCCCAGCATGGGCTGAAACAGTGAACCAAATAAATCTTTTTTCCCTTCAGAGATGGGAACGTAATGTTATAGCCACTAAGACTCAAGGAATAGACTTCATAGAATACCCAGCCACATGTCCGGTAAACACTAGAAATACACACGTCTGCCCCCTTACACAAAATGCCAACCTGGTGCCAGGCAGATGCCAATCCACTCCTCCTCCCTCCCCACTTCTTCAGCTACCAATGTGGGGTAGACCTGCCTTGACCCTCCTAACCTAGCCTAAACGACACATTGCCTCTCACCATCCATTTCTGTTACACTTTATCCTCACCACCACCTACATATCCCACAAAACAGCACCCCCTCAGTAGAAGCCCACTGGTCAGCTCCAGTGGACCACCAAAAGCCTGCACACCTGCTGACACTCATGGCCTGGGTGGTCTGGAGTACTTGATCTGGAGTCCAGAGTGGTTGTTGGCAGGGTCATGACTTACCTTGAAAAGACGCCGCCATGCCCTCTGAGAGACGCCTCTTCTTGAGCTTGTCCTTAATCTGGATGGTGTCCCGGGCCACAGTGCTGGCCTCTGATTCCAGGGAAGGGATAGCTGCCACAGGGTGGGGGCCCAAGGGCACAGCTCTGAAGACCCTGGGGTAGCCATTCTGGGCCTGCAAGCCTTTCAAAGGAGCATCCAGCGTGAGGCTACCCTGGTCCTCGTGTCTACTTGAGAGTTGTGACAGCTTCTCGCTGCTTAGCAGGACACTTGACACTGACTGCAGAGAGGCTGAGAGAGACAGGGACACAAGGCCCAGGGTGGCACAGGCACCAGCAAACTTCCTAGAATAGCTTCCATAGAATGATCAGCCATGTGCCTGTTGCCTGTGTCATTCTGTTTTCTTCCTGGGGCCATTTGCTGGTCAGTGGTGCCATGGGACATGTAACCCTGAATGAGACCCAGGTCGTAAGATCTTCAGGGCATAAGAGGGGATCTACAAGCAGCCTTATTGCAGAATGGACAAGAAATGCTAAATACGTAGGGAAAGGGCTGTCTGTCTGCCCAGGGAACACTTCCATCAGGGTCCACCATCCAGCCTTTGAGAACCAACAACAATATCAAACACGGACCCAGAGGACAAGCTGGGTCTTCACAACAAGTTGTGCTCACATGTAGGCTCCAAGTCGTACACTTTCTCATTCAAGCCAGCATTTAATAAGCACTGTCAGTGTACTGAGCATTTTCCGGACAGTGGAGGGACAGAGACGAGGACTTTATGATTACGGAACTTCCAATTAGAGGAAAAAGATACGCTGTTAATAGGTTCAAGGCAAACATGAGATGTGCCCTAAGCTATAGAGCAAAATGTTCAATGCACTTGCTGCTGTGAGTGGCGATACAGAAGGCGTTGGCGAACTGCTGGGCCCAGAGCAGTCCTAGAACCTGGAAGCACCCCAGGGACTGTGGGCAGGGAGCGTGCAGAAGCTCTTCTACATTGTTTCACGTCTTAGAACCGCCTGACGTAAGTGCTAACACCTGGTGTGCAGGCAGCAGGGCCTGGACTGTAGCTGGCACACAATGCAAGGACAGCCAAACTCCCAGACCAGCCAGAGCCTGAGGGAATGTGATACCTGAGCCACAGAGGCCTCCATGCAGAGCAGGGACTGAGCCCTGCCCTGGACAGTCCAAAGCTGGACATCAGAGTGGAGTCCAGGAGCAGAAGGTGACACAGGGGCTGAGTGGAGTCGAGGCAAGCACCAGGGCAGGACTGCCATGCTTGTGACTCTCTCCTGCTACTCATGCCTGGTGCCCTCCTGAGCCCAAGATGCAGGCCCCCACGGCAGCCAACCCTGTCTTTCTGGAGTTTGAGAGGTCCCAGGTTCACTTCCTCACCCCCTGAAATCTCTCTCTCTACTGCCCTCATCCCAAGGAAACATTTTTTGTTGTTGTTTACTTCCACATTTTGTTTACGTTTTTTGTTTTGGGTTTTAGAGGGTTCATTTTTGGTTTGGTTTGGTTTTTTTTGTTTTGTTTTGTTTTGTTTTGTTTTGTTTTTTCTTCTCTGCTCCTAAATGCCATTCCACTCATATTAAAGTTGGTATATAAATGTTTTGTTATATTTAAATGACCACAAGAATATAATTTTCAGCTTTTACTTTTCTTTTCTTTTTTTTTCTTTTAGACAGAGTCTCATGTAACCAGGTTTTGGACCCTGATCCTCTAATTCCTCAAACATGCTGAAATTAGTCTCTAGGAGCGTCTTAAACAAGGGCTGGTAAACAAAAACCTGCTATAGTGTGAGGCTGTCCAAACATCCAGCTACCGTCATTTCTCCTGCAGGCCAGGCTTGAGCTCTGTGACCCTGACTGGGTAGCTTCTCTGGGCTCCCTCCCACCCCATGCCAAAGACCCCAGAGAGGCCACCAGAGCAATTTGGCGTGACCAAGTGGCCAGGTCCTCACCTTCACCATAAGTGAGAAGATTTGAGTCGATGCTTCCAGGCGGGGGCACTCGGAGCCCAACACTAGGCCGAGGGACACTCCCGCAGTACACAGCCACTGGAGCCAGAACTTTGGCTGGGGACAGAATCACAGGAGAACGGTATCTTAGAGTCCTCTGGGGCCCAAACTAGGGTAAAAACGAAGATTAGGAACACCGGTAATCACTACCATTCTCCCTTTGCAGTCTCTGCTGGAAGGAACCAAGGGCAGGTCCTGGGCCTCATACCAGAGCCTGGTCCACTGATGGGGGTACCAGCCAGACAGTAATCTCAAACAACCCCACAAACCTATTATTCCCCAGGCTTTGCTCTCTCCTCAAATTCTGCCTGCTTTCTCCCTCTCTATCTGCTTTCTATCTCCCTCCAGCTTTGGGTCAAGTCCCCTAATTATGGGTCTGTTTGTTTGTTTTTCAGCCTTCTCCAGCAGCCAATGAAACTGATTCCTGCTGAGCACAGCCCTAGCTTCTGTCACAGTGAATCTCAGTGCTCTGCCTGTGCTCTCCCCCAACACCCCCTATTCCCTTTGCCTCTGCAAAGGCCCTGGTTCAGAGCATCCATTCCCTGCCTCATCCCTAGAAGGCCTCAAGCACTGATCTCCAGGCTTCCCTCCACAACCTCCCCGGTTTGGCAAATGACATCCTTCATTTCCTAGTGCCTGAACTGTGCAGGGACTCTGGTCTGTACACGCTGATCATAGGGAAGCAAGGCTGACCTGGTCCTCCCCTGGAGGAGACCCGAAGGCCAGTGACAGACAGATGGTGACAAATAGGCAATGACAGAGACAGAGATGAGATGGCTTCCCAGTAAGGAAGAGCCAGAGCAGAAGGCAGGAAGAGAAGAGGGAGGTGGCTAGGAGATCCTGGCACTGAGAAGGGGAAGTGGACACACAAAGTCCCATGCTTAACCAATGGAATAATAGCACTCCAGGGCAGTCTCCATGTCCAGGAGTAGTGGGGCAAGACAAAACAAACTCCATGGTTGTAGTTTTTGTTGTGGGCTTTTTGTTTCATTTGGATATATATATATATATATATATATATATATATATATATATATATATATATATATATGAGAGATAGATCATGGAGTTGAGTGGTTAGAGAGGTAAGGAAGATGTGGAAGGGAAAAGAAAGAATATGAGTGAAAACATATTAAATGAAAAAAGGGAAGCCTTCCGCTGCCTTTGGTCCCACAGGCCCAAGTCCGCCTTTGCCTCTCCGTACACACTTAACAATGTCATTACCCCAAGCTTTCAGGCTCAGCCCCTCCCAAGTACATCTCAGAACCATGTAAGGAGTGTAACTGACCACCAGATAAGCCCTTGATACAGAGGGACACTCAGCCACCCCCACACAGAAACACCCTCAGACCAGGACTTGGGAGTCTAGGCTGTTCTTATTTCTATTGCTGTGGGACCTAGAGGAAATAAACTAACCTCTCAGAGACTCAACCTGTAAAACAAACTAACTGGGCTGTGCTGGGGTCCATAAACTACCTCCATCCTATTCCTAGATTTCTTGTAGGCTTTCCGCCTTTCTCCCTTCTCCACTAGACTCTATGGCCGGGCTGGCACTGATGGAGTTGTGAGTTACACAGCTGTTTTCATATTCTGCAGCGTACTGCCTAAGCATAATATGTCCCCCGGCTACTATCTTCCTTACCACGGCCACCTGGACATGTATCCCCTGCACCTGGGCCCATCTGAGGTTAATAGCAATTGCACCTGGCAATCACCCATTTCATACGAGGCAGGGGGAAACATCTCAGTTCCCACCCACAGGCTCACAACCTGTGGGTTGTGCGTTAACCCTTCAAGGGGCCAACCCACTGTGTCTCAGAGCAGACATGAAGCCAGCCAGAGTCCCCAGGGCATGCCACACCCCTGCTGGCCAGGGAGCCTCACAGTCATGGCAACTGAAGTCAGGAGACCCAGTATCAGCCTGTGGCCAGCTGCCACCTGGCGGCAAAGCCCAGCAGAGCGTGACCCCGGGACTATCCAGGAAAGACTCTCAGCCCATCAAGTTCCCCTACCTGGAGGGACATGATCACGGGTGTCCATGCCCTGGGTGGAGAAGGCGCCCACCAGGTTGTCTGGAGGGGGCAGTTGTCCCAGGGCCCTGAGCACAGGCCTCGAGGGTCCAAAGGATGCTGGCCTGTGACATCCAGGACCCTGTGTGAAAAAAATACAATAAAATAAACAAAACGCTTTTAAACCCTCCTCAGTGATCTACAGGAGCCAAAGCCTGGCTGAGGTCAGTGCCAGGCCCAGGATGCCATCCTGTCCTTCCTGACCTGTACCCTCTCTCAGAACGGCCCAGAATCCTGAGTCCCAAGGCCATATGGCCCTGCAGAAGAGTTCACTGAGAGGAGTCTCAATAGAGCCCAATCAACCCATCACCCCTTGTCACTCAGACATGACCCCACTCTCTCACCTTAGGCTGTCAAGGTAGGTATTGATGCCTCCATGTTACTCAAAGTTCTTCTTGCTAGACAGACAATTTGGGTTGCCCAAGAGCACAGAATATCTAAGTTTTTATAGTCCTCCTACTGCAATGCCTTGTGAATAATAACTTCCTCACCAGCTACCTCCTGGAAGTCAGAATGTCCACAGACAGAGGCAGCCCCATTCCTCCATGTCCTGGGGGACTCACAGAGAGGAAACCTCTGGCCTTCGTCTAGCTTACCGTAGTACATCCATCAAACAAGCCCCGGTCAGTTCTGCATCTTCAGCCCCTCAGTCACCAAAGATCCACAGAGCAGGTGGCCACCGTGGTTAATGGACTAGCAGCCATGTCCCATGTGACAGCAAGGAGTGGCACCCTACCCCCAACCCAGGAAGATCACTCAGGCCCAGGGTGTGGTGTGCGTTCAAAGATCCCTGTCCCTAAGACAGAGCTCTGGACTTAGCTCAGATGCCATTCAGCCCCTGTCCCCTAAGTAGAATTCACCGAAGTCTCATTTGTACACTGAACTGCTCTGGCCAGGAAGGCCTACCTGTCGGGTCATCCAACCTCAAGCTAAAGGGCTCAATCAGCCAGCATATTCTAATGAGCGGGATATCATTCTCTCCCCTCAGCGCTCCATACTGCCCCAGATAACTGATGCCTTCGCTCTCAGCCTCAGTTTCCCAGCTCCAATAAAAACTATTACCAGGCCACAGAGGAAGACAATGCAGCCACTCCTGATGAGACCTGAGAGACTAGGATCAGAAGGAAGCGGAGGAAGACCTCCCCTATCAGTGGACTGGGGGAGGGACAAGGGTAGAGAAGGGGGAGGGAACATGGGAGTGGGAGGGGAGGCAGGAAGGAGCTACAGGTGGGATAAAAAGTGAATAAACTGTAATTAATAAAAATTTTAAAAAATAATTTAAAAAAATAAGCTAAAAAAACAAAAAGACTGGAGAGATGGCTCAGAGGTTAAGAGCACTGGCTGATCTTCCAGAGGTCCTGAGTTCAATTCCCAGCAACCACATGGTGGCTCACAACTATCTACAATGAGATCTGGTGTTTTCTGGTGTGCAGGTGTACATGCAGACAGAACATTCTACACTAAATAAATAAATAAATCTTAAATACAAACAAAAACAACAACAAAAAAAGCTATTGTCTGCTCCTTCCCTTAAAGCCATGGTGACCCATGCAGCAGGAAAGAAGCTATAGGACAGAAGGTACTCAGGTTTCAAATGGAATGGAAACAAAGCTAGCATTGGCTCAGGAGCGTGTCAGCTCCAAGAACAAACTGTTACCACCCCTGTGCCTCTCACAGACCACAGAAGCCAAGGCCAGGTCCATGCACACCTTGTTTTCCAGGAAGTTACTGTGCCAAGAGAACAGCAAACAGTTGGGGAGGCAGGGCAGGGAGGAACCGTGCTGGGGGAGGGGTGATAGTGGAACATGGATGCTCACACATCTTCAAAGTTTCATGGAGACGGCTCTCCCGCCCTTCACAGCACACTGATGACATGGGTGTCATCACATGGAGGAGATAGACAGTACGTTCAAGCTCGGTTTCACCCCACATACACCGTTTTATTTTTCTTTTCTGAAATAGGATCTCAGCATGTAGCCCAGGCTAGCCAGAAACCCAAGATCTTCCTGTCTCGGCCCCTAGAGTGTTGAGATCACTACACCTAGCTCAGATGTCCCTTTGGCCTCCTCCAGGGCTCACTATTAGCCCATGTTTCTATGCGAGCACTAACTGCCACCCAGGCAGGAAGCACAATGCTTTCTGTAAGAGCAGAAGGCTATGGACGCTTGCCACCACCCCGTGTGGGACAAGTACTTACCACTGTCATACCAGTCAGATAAGCACCCACTGTCACACTAGGAGGGACACGAGAACACTCTCAGTGTCTGGGAAGGTAGACACCTCGGGGGCCACCCAGTTATCTGAGAAGCCAACTGAGAGACAAAAGTCTTGCTGGTCAGAAGGTCAACAGGTCAAGACAGAGAAAGGCACTCCAATTGCAGGCATAGAGGGCATATGTACCCTGGAGTCTGAAGACCCAGAAGCCCAGCCTGGGAAGGCTTTGCCCTTGCCCACCTCCACTTCCACGAAACAGCCCAGCCACGGACCTCCAGAGAAAACCCCGCAGCCCGTCGCAAGGCTGCTGATTCTGATCTCTGAGCTGTTGGTGGAGCTCTGCGGTCCACTCCAGTCTACCACATCCCAGAGACCAGGATACAAAGGTGAGTGAGCTCACATCCAGCCCCTCCCTGGGCACTGCGTGGCTGGCGGCACATCACTGATGCCTGTAAACCCAAATGCTGCTGCTGCAGAAAGAGATAACCCCCCTGGTGAGCCTCAGTACCTATTCTACAGGCAGGGATGATCACTTAACATGGGGTCTGGCCCCCAGTTAGTGATCAGCGCACCTGGGCGCTTCAGTTCACAAAGGCATGGCGTCTGGATGAGGAGGAGATGGCTCAGTTGGTGCAAAGCTTGCTATGAAAGCATGGGAACCCCAGAACCACAGAAAAATACCTGCACACAGCAGGACACAGCTGTAATCCCAGAGCTGGGGAGGCAGAGAGAGAAGGATGCCCGGGGCCTGCTGGCAATCTGTCTAGACTCGTCGTTCTCAACCTTCCTAATGATACAACCCTTTAATAACGCTTCCTCGTGTTGTGGCGGCCCCCAACCATAAAATCATTTCCTCGCTACTTCAGAACTGTAATTTTGCTACTGTTATGAACCATAATGTAAGTATCTGATATGCAGGAGAGATGCGAGACCCACCTACAGGTTGAGAACCACTGGTCTGGACAAATAGAAAGCTCCAGGTTAAGTGAGAGCCCGTGTCAAAGAAGACCATGGCCTGTGCTTCAACAAGACATCCAATGTCAACTGTGCATTTGGGGACAGGGAGCGATGAACAGGTGGGAGAGCAAGAAGCTGATGCAGTGAGCAGACAGTTCCTGGAAGTTTGCATGAGAAGCTCAGGGGGGGAGGGGGAGCTGGAGACAAAGGGGGAAGTGTGCTGGGAGGGAGGGCAACCTTTAAGGAGTGGGCAGTAGGTCACTGAAGGCATAACCTTGAAAGGGACATTGAGACCTCAGCTCCTTTCTCACCGCCTCTTCTCTTCCCCTTCCACCATGAGTCAAGCAGCTTTGCCCCACCCTATACCCCCTGCCGTGATGCTTGCCTCAGCACAGACCCAGAACAGCAAAGCCAGCGACCACCCACAGGCTGAAGCCTCAGAGCCAAAACCAAAACTGCCCTTCAAGTCAGTTTTCTCAAGTGTTTTGTGACAGTAATAGAAGGCTGTCTAGCTCGGGTCCCCCATCACCTCCACCCTTACCAGGGAGACACCCACACCTGCCACACCCTGGGTAGAGGCAGCCCAGGCCCTCCCATCCATTCAGAGATCCAGGCCCCCACTGATACTGGCTCGTAGGCCAGAAAGAAGACAGTCCAGAGAAAAGTCCCACACACAAATGGGGCCCCCTCCATCAACTCAGCAGCCACCCCTCTGCCTGCTGGCACAATCATCCCTCCATCACAGGTAAAATGGTGCTGACACTAGTGGAAGCGCTCTGCCCTTTAGATAACATGATGTTTGGGTCAGGTAGCAGCCTGTAGGAGTGCAGAGAAAGTCCCTGGGGAAATGGCCTGGTCGGTAAAATGCTTTCTGTGCAGAGACCTGAGGATCTCTGGGGCTTGCTGGCCAGCCTAGCCTGTTCAATGACTTTCAGTCCAACAAGACCCTGACTCAATAAAACAAGGTGGACGGTACCTGCAGAATGACACTTGGGGTTGGCCTCTGGCCTCACATGCACCCACGCACAAGGCTGTACCTACACACACTTTCACACACGCAAGTGTACACTCACAAGGGAACACAAAGGGCCAAACACAGCGCCTGGTGTATGCGAACAGCTGTCAGCAGTGTAGATAAGTGAATGAATTCAAGGCAGAAGCATGTCGTCACAGACAGTCTTGCCAAGAAAAGTGGGGGAAATTAACGTCCCTCAGTCCTGTATTGCTGTGCTTCAGGTCCGGTACTGCAAGCTTCCAGGAATGCAATTTGCCTTGGAAGTAGAACGAGAAAGTAGATGTTCTGACCCTACATAAGAAGATGACGGGGGTTAGGGAGGATTAGGTAAGCAGATCAGGGCCACAGAGCCGCAGCAGCAAAGCCAAAGCCATTGGTTTCTGTGGAGGCTGACACACATTGGATTTCAGACTGTTCACTCCGAAGCCAACAGACATGCCACCTGCTGACTCCGTGGCCTCAGGCACATTCACAAACCTCCGTGAACTTCCATCTCACGGCAAAATCAAATTAAAAACATCTATCTTATAAGATATCAAGAGCACCAAGGTTATCAAGAGCACCCAAGGGGCTGGAGAGCTTGCTCAGCTAAGAGTGCTTGTCCATCTTGCAGAGGACCTGAACTCAGCTTCCAGACCCCACGGCTGGCAGCTCACAACAGCCTGTAACTCCAGCTTCCAGGGATCTGACACCCTCTTTTGGCCTCTGCAGACACCCATATACATGTACACAGAAACAGACAGATGGACAGACACACACACAACACATACACCTAAGTAAATAATTAAATAAATCTTTTTTTTTTTTTAAGTAAGAAAGAAGAAGAAGAGTGCTCAGAAAATATGACAAGCATTGGTGAGTGAGCCGCCTGCCTCAGCCTCCTCAAGCCTCAGTCA